TACTATAGCCTTACCATCGTGAAATGCAATACTACATCCTGAACAATGATAATATGAACTACTACAAAGAGTTAAAAAAACATAAAACATTATCTACATTATCAGACGACCTGCAGCAGATAACAGGACATGGAAAAGCCATTCACCAGCTGGTAAACTGTGACTTTAGTTTATGATTGACTTGGACTCATTACTCCCATTACAGCCCACAGAAGCAAGGAACCTGACTTCCTGTAGTTGAACCAGATGAAAGAGCTCTGTGTCACCCACTGAGACCAAAACATAACCTTTGGACATTCACTTTTTAATGGCCGACTTTATAAGCAGTAGGGGGGAAAAAACAACAACAACCAAAGGGAAGAAATAATGACATGAGAATCAGTCTGTTTACATGAAACACGTTTTAGGTTTGAAAACCAATTATTACACTAGTGTAAAAATTACACAAGGCTTTTATAATTTTCAGATATATTAAGATATACAGAGCAGTTTAAAGTTATACTATAGGAAACCTACAGTGTCAGCCTGACACTAGGGAACTGCATTTGTCCAACTGACATCTAAACTCATTCATCAGTCTTCTCTTTTTTTTCACTTCTTCTTTGGAACCCAACATCAGCTCCTATAGATTGTTAGTTCCTCCCACTGCTTTAAAGATTATATAAAGAACATACCACTGGGTAATTCTGTAAAATCAGTAGACAGTTGAGCAACATGGTGATAAGACAGTGTTACGTCTTGTGACCTTTGTACCGAATGACTCCCTCAGCTGCATTTTATCACCTCAGAAAGTTCTAGTCTAGGTTCCATGACTCCTGCTAGTTTGTTTGCACTGAACTGATCTTTATTTACTTTCTTTTTCACTTTGGAGTTTCGTCTTGATTTGATTTCTGTGAAATGAATTTAAGAGGCAAAAAATTCCAGCCAAGTAGCAGTGGCAGTAATGCATCCAAAGTGCATTTGCCAGACATCGGACACAATACCATGGCTAACATTAGCAAGCTACTTGACGACAGATAAGACACAAGGGTTTAAAGCCAACAAAAGTCTTCAAGTGTAGAATGTCATAGATGTATTTGCTCACTAAGTTTGGGCCAATCAGTGTAGACAGATGGAAAGAGAAATAAACGTCTTTGAATTGCATTTGATATTTATTCTTCACTTCAACACTTAAATAAGCTGTCTCTTCCTACTGTATAAAACTATTCTTTTTTAACAAACCCTGATCTCTCTGCTTGGTTTTCTTGGAACCAAAGTTCTTAATTTACCAACTCCGCCTTCAGCCAATGCTTAGCTGTAAACAGGTTTGATGTCCTTTTTGCTGACTGGTTTAAACTGGTGGTACCTTCGCATGCCATTCTCTGTCGACCTCTTTTTCTTTTCCATACCATCTGACATTGCACAATGTTAAACACAGTGTTTGGGTCAGAGCCTCAGGCAGCGCCGTGTCATGACTCACACAGGTATTTCTTTATGTAACTGCTGCTTCTCCTTTTTTGTATAACATACTCAGCTCATGTGGGTTTTGTTTCATCCAGTGATAATAAGAGCAACTAGAGGTAAAATATTACTTATCAAAAATATAAATACAGTTTAAACACAAAACAATCAAGTATGAACAGGAAAATTTAACAAACGACCCTGAGTCATTGTGTATGAGAACATGTTTAACAACAAGCTTTAACTTGCTCCACATATTTCCTACAGCATCAGTTCTAAAAATTTCGATGGCTACGCCTGTTTGCACTACAATAACTCACACTTTTCCACCCTTCATTTAAAAGGTTCCCCGCCCAAGAGATTACCTGCTCCCTGTTAGCCAATCAGCATCCCTGTGCCTTTTTTGCCTGTTTGCCCTGTGACTTGGCTTTTGTCTCCAGCTTTTCCTTCATGTGTTTGTTTTTTGAGTCAACTGTAACAGAAGGGTGTACTGCAAAGCCAGTTTAGTGGCATAGCGAGGTATGTTGAGTTTAATGGCGCATTTTTCTGTGCTACAAAGGTGGCTCTCTTTTAACACAGCTATGTCACCATGGTAACTTGTGCTTAGCCCATAACCTGGTTTATACACACACTCAGCTAAACTTGTCATAATAATTATTTTGTGAGCTGAGTCAGTTATTGTAACTAAATTGACCAGGACAAGTTCGAGCCATTTGCTGTTTGTTGCGACGCTAAAGCAGTTCTAACCAAATATAAACCTAAAATAAATTGGTTCAGAGATTAATCCTTGGGAAACTCCCTGGTGTACTTTTGTCTTTTGTGAAGTTTCATTTATTATTTGACCGTGTAAATAGTTGTTGGTATTTTTTATCTCGCCAATGTAGGTCAAATTGATTGAGTTGTGTAACATGTTCAGGATAATTAATCGGCAGCATGATTTCTTCCATATAATGTTTGTCTCAAGGTCATTAGATGATGTTCATGGTTCCAGGTTATATAACCAGCAAGTTTCTGGAATGTTGTTGTTGAAAGTCTGAGGTTGACTACCAGTGAGAAAATTGCAAATATATTAGTTTTATTTTATTACCTACTGAATTATTTTCAAGGAAAATTAAGGAGTATTTTTCATCTGTGTTCTGTGTTGTTATTCATGTCAATTGCTCCATTCATGTGCTGTGCTGCTACTCTTGTTATTGCAGTGTTTTTCCCCTTGTGGAATAATCCCATTTTATGGCAAACTTTCTGCAGTGTTTGCGACATCATTATCATCATGTGCCTTTGCAGGGACGTGACACTGAACAGATATTTCAACACAGGAAGTGAGTTATCACTTAGTTATGGGCTCTGAACGGCAGCAGAAAAACAACGCTGCACTTTGTTTTTTTTTCTCTTACTTCCATTTACACCATTAATCTTTTACTGCCTGTAACACAGAATGATCCAAGTTTAAAACAGATACCTTGGCATAGACCAGACCGACTGTAGATCGTCTCAGGGTCACCAGCTGCTGCTGCTGCAGTTGTGGAGGACTGTAAGTCACCAGCTGCTGCTGCAGTTGTGGAGGACTGTATTACCTGCCAGACTGAACACAAAACAATTGAATAGTTAGAGAAAGCACAAAACTTCCAAACTGCTATACTTGAGATTTTATCACACAGCCATGAATCACTTGACAGCTTTGCAAAACAATATCGTAAAGAATAACAGAACGGAAAATTGCAAATGCGCAGCAAATGTGGTCTGAACAGGACGTCCTAGTGGCAAATGGTTAACATTAGTGCTGTCTCGAACAAAGGAGGTTCCATTTTCTTTACATCAGCGGTTTTGACCTTGTGTGCGTGTGTGTGTGTGTGTTAGCCTTGTGTGTGTTATTTAGTACATATTTTCCTTGGGTTATGTTACTTAAGATCTTAGGACCAGGAATCTGGTCAATTATGAAGGAATTCAATGTCTAAAGCTCTGGTTAAAGTTAAGATGAAAACATAAAATGTAGAGCTAAAGGGTTAACGACCATGAGGTTCTAGTTAAACTGGGGAGAAGGGTTTGACATAAAAAAAACAACTGTCCAGGATTGAAGGCAGATTGCGTTTGTTGGCTGATGAAACAGAGTGATGCTTGTTTTCTTCTTGTCTTCATTTAATTTATTTTATTAAAAAAACAAAACAGCTACTTGTTGCAATAAAAAATGGGTTTCTCACCCTTTTATCGACCGTGGTTATTATCTTTTACTGACAAAATGTCCTTGGAAAGTTTTTGTCTTGTCTTTATCTATGAACATGCGGGTACTTCTACTTCACACCCGCCAGTGTGCCAGACAGAAATATCTGGAACAAACGCAGAGTATAGATGTCCTTTGCAGTTTAAAAACTCCAGAAATACACAGTACACGGCAGTGCTGGATAAACTGAACCTAGGTTGCCAACCATATCCTGTGCAAATATTTGCATTTGTTTGTCCAGCATTGTCATTGTTGCTGAAGTACAATAATAAATCAACAGAAAACATGTTCAGGACCTGCTTCCAAAATTTCACTAAACTTCAAACCTAAAACTGTCAATAACTCCAGAACACATGAAAAAAGTAGGACACCAAATCTTCAGCTTATGAATTATATGATTAACACAGATTACACTGAGCACAATGGTCGTAAAATGCCCTCCCAAACACGACATGAATAAGAGACTGTAAATAATATATGAAGAAAATCTTGAAAAAAAACTTGCTAACGGGATAAAAACAAGGCGAAGAACAAAAATGGCAAATGTTATGCTTTGGCGACACCTCGTGGTAGAAAAACAGTTGTACATTTTATTATGTTTTGTGCTGACATTGAAACCCAATACAACAAATGGGTCTATCATTGAGCCTCCCTAATAACACCACCTAATTTACAGCTCCAAATCTCAGATGAACTACCTATAAAACGACCATATTGTGTGATAATTATAGAAAAAAAAGTTGTTTTGCCCTTGAGCTACGAACAAACGGGACAATTTAAAGTAATTATTTTTTTACACTGTTGATAGAATGTTTTGCAATTTTAAAACACGCACTACAGTGATCATTGAGAGAAAATTCTGGGAACAGTCGTGTGATCGTCTGTGATTGGCTGGTTCTCTAATTTGGCTTTAATGGCGGTTAAACGTTCACCTTTTTTCATTGTAATATGGATTTTTTGTTTTCTTCTGATAAAATGATTATTTAATTACAGTAATTATTGTAACTGTGTAACAGAATAATGACATGACTGTAAAATTCTGACTAGACCATTGTAAATAAAATATTTTTTCTTTTTAAAAAATGTTTTTGATATTATTTTACAGAAACGTTTTGTGGTCTGGACTGTTTAAAATTGTTTTCACAGAAATGTCAATTTTGTAATTTCCCTTGGTCTTATTTTAGACAGAAATGAATAAATTAAGAAGGAAATTAAATTTAAAAAGAGAGGAAATTGCAATACAAGATTGGATATCTTGTTGATAGATAGAACGATAAATAAATATATAAAATCCAATAAAAACTCCAAGTGTTGTGAAATATTACTACTGCAACAACAACAGCCCTTTTAAAAGCAAATATTTATCTCATTTAGTCTTTGACTTTTATATCAATCTAATGTAAGATGTTTTATTTAATAATTGGCTGCATTGTCTGGGGGAAAGTGTCAGTTTCCTGCCACGCCAGCAGGGGGGCAACAAGTCTGACGTCTCCAAGAAAGTTTAAACACTGAGTGACACCGAAGAATAACTTAAACCAGTTAGTCAAATATGTTTGTTTGTTTTACGATTTAAGAGAGACTGTCGCGAGTCCTTGTGTAACTTCTGAAGGGACTTTTTTTCTGAAACACCCACTGAAGAAACGTTTCTTGGAGTTCAAACGCGGAAACGTACGTCAAGTCTGCACCGCTGCAAAGAGGAAGAGCTGGTGCAATCAGTGAGGTGATGACCGTGGCAGAGAAGGGAGAGGAGGAGGTCTAGAGAGAGGAGGCTTGACTGTCAAAGCTCCTCCAGCACCTCTGGAGGAGCTGCATCAGGACCAGTCGTCCAGTAGCTGGTGGACTTTCCCGCAGGAGAGGAGGAGCCTGTGCTGGAGAACCTGACTGAGGGGGTAGTGAAGGCAGACACGCAGCTCCTGGATGCGTTACTGCAGGTACGACAGTGAGTTCACCGACTTTTATCAGTTTTATCAACATATTGTAAACAGGGCCGCCGTAAGCATTTATAAGAGGCCGAAACCATCTTCTGTTTTAAACTGTAGGTGCATGGAAAAGTCTCAGATAATGATTTGGAAAAGGACTTTATATATAGTAATATTGAAGTTTTGGGTCATTTTATGCTTCTTTTTTTTTTTACCAAATCTGCCAATATTTCTCCTCTGTGGAGAGCCAAACAATTAATATACTCTCTTTAAATACCATATTTCTCCTCTGTGGAGAGACAAACAATTAATATACTCTCTTTAAATATTTCTATGTTTCTTTTCTCCTTCTTGTCCTTCTACCTAGCAGCTACATCAACCTCTGTCCGTTGTACTGTATATATTATGTGTACAGAGTATTTGAGTATTTTGGGGCTGCTTTACTTGAGCTCCTAATGACAACTTTTGGTTCACTTTTTTAAAATTTCTGTTGGAAGTTTCATTTCTTCTCAACAGAACAAAATGGTAACTGATGCTGCTTTGAGAATACATTTATCAACTGTAATTTAGAATGATGCACACGGTACATCCAACAATCCCACCTTAGCGTTTCCCTAACATAAATAAAAAATGGTGGGAAACATATATTTCTACCTGTGGTGATTTGTCTTTCCAATGCAGTAATATACAGTCAAATTTAAGAATGTTGATTGAACTATCATGATTCATTTTGAGCTCAACTAATTGTAAACTATCCTGACTAATCCACACCCTTTCTTTAATCAGATTAAAAATCATTTAACTGATTAGAGTATCAAATGTCAACAGTCATAGTTGCTATGTGTTTAGGGCTGGAACTCCTTCCCCCACTCCCTCAGCTTGTTTGCCTCAGTAGATCACAGTTTTCATATTCAACTCCATATGCAAATTTAAGTCTGCACATTTCTGACATGATGTTGCTGATAAAGTCTCTACAGTTTATTGTTTAAAAAAATGCAAAGCGAACGCTGCACTTCCTCATACAACATTCACTCTCATAGCTTCACAGGGAGGTCCCTGAAGCTTTTTTTAAGAGTTATGACCAACGTGTTCAATATTAAAGATTAAGGGGGGAAAAAAACTTTAGCCAGTTGTCATTTAGCCTCCACTGTCGTCACTTGTATATGATTAGTGTTCGGAGACTACATGTGGTACCTAGAGTTGTGTAGTTGAAGTAGCTCAATGGTTCTATTATTGTGAACTAAAAACTGCATTATATTATCTTTGGATGTTTCAAATATATGTAAATATAGGTGCAATTTATTTATACCTACATGAGCCATAGCTGGGGTTATTTGCTGTTAGTGTCAATGCTTTTGACTCTTGATGTGGTAACTTAGCCCTAAAGTATACATTTTACTCAGAGAATCTACTTTTTTTTAAAACAAACAGTTTCTTATCTTTTTATAAAAATGATTGAGTGAGGTTTTATATTGGTGAGCCTCACCTTGAGTTGTTTTTAATGAACAAAATACAATATGGCAGCTTTTCGTCTCCATAAACAGGAGTGAATGTATCATAATAAACAAGAAGGGGGTTAAATCCAGGCCCTTGGTGATGACAGTGTTAATGACTGGCATCACTATTAAAAGGCAATGACTTAATGTGTGTGTCTTAATATTTCCTGATACTGTCATTGTTAGGTTGCTAAGCAGGTAAACAAACTCCTCTGTCGTGGTTCGTTTGATTCTGTCTTTTACTCAGCAGTACTCATGACTATTTGTCTGATCACATGTACCGTGACTGTACAAATATATCACGGTTGGATTCAATGTTTTTCACTACGCTTTTATAACAAGACCCACTCAAACAGACACAAACAGATGCACTGACACAAATCAATGCCCAACACCAGTCCATGTAAATCCAAACTTATTGACATACTTCACCTGTGTACTTTTAGTAGTCATGCTGTTGTCCTTTCAACTGCACTTGCAACAAATCCATCCATTCCTTGTGCTAATCTTCTCCTTCAGCCACTTCGTTTTATCCTTGTTTTAGCGCTTCGGTGCTCCCC